ATAGGGCCAAATATCTGTATGTAAATATACTTCCATTGGAGTATTATAGCAAATAATTTCTTGTGCATTCTAGCTGTCTTCCTATTCTTCGAGAGCTCTAATCTTGTAAGGAAGTTATCCACATGAATGGCCAAGGGAGTGGGGATTTACCTCTTCACTTGGCCAAGACTTTACCGCTTACTTAGTGTAGCTTTACTGCTTTCAATTACAAGCTTTGTAGAATTAGCAATTCCAGCTTTATTAGTAAATAATGAAATATCATTCAGTTCTTCATCTCTATTTCTTTCACATTCTTTTGACACTTATATAAACCCTGGTTTTAAATAGTTTCAGGTCACTGGTTTAGAGCATAAGAAGAATTGATTATTTAAGCCTTGTCTTTTGCCAAAAGCGTTTTCAGGGTAGTTCAACGTAGTTAAGTACGCGAGAGCCTTGTCGACCTGCTTAACTACTATTTTGAATTCAATTTTGATTAAAAAGAAGTAACAGAAGGGTAATGCCACTAATGAGGCAGAAGTTGAGATAACTAATGGGGCATAGGCGGTGGTCTATTAGGTCACAGAAACTCCTAGTGACAGTAGGGTTTCTTTCTTATAATATTCCGATTATGGGTGTCATTGAAGTCTTGTTGTAAATCCCTTAAGGTCAGATTCCGGTGATAAGAATTCTTTATAACTCGGTTCATATATTTACATCATCTCCTTCCACCGCTTCCGTATTATACGTATACCTCCGGTAACACACCAACATCGCTCGCTCATTTCATCCAGGAAAACCTAGTCATTAAGTAACGCACAGTTCAGACACAACACCTCTCCCTTACTCTCCACCTCTTACATATGCATATATACATATTGTGCTATTCACTCATGTCCCGTTTACTTGATCATCATTGGCACTTGACCGCTCGCCTCCGCTCACCTTTACCACTTTTACTTACCGCTTTCTGTAGAGTAGAAATTTGGATTCGCTGCAGAGCGGGTCCTTTTACCGCATTTTCGCCGTTTTTTCAAGATCTACACTTGATTTGAAATTCTTGACTTAAAATCCCTGTATTTGACCTAGACACTCACCAGTAAAAGAGTATAAATAATTGTGATAACTACTCAGGGTCTACAATCGAAATATTTTACTATATCTTACCACTTTCTATAGTCATTCACACCTTGACTTTTGAACATAAAATTCCCTATGAATATATAAAAATTCCTCATCACAAATTTTAGCTATCAGCCACCACGAATTATTGGAGGATACCCAAAAGAAATCATATGCATCAAATCTTAGTTCCCAAACGAAGAAAGGACCCACCAAAAGATATGTTACTTCCGGCATGGCAAGAGTACCTGCTAAAAACACTGAGATTGAGAGTGCAGTTTTCCTAGATAATAAAATCATAAGATTGACACACGAATTAAATGCCTTACCATCTTTCTTCTTCAAATCCTCTTATCTAGACTCTTGCTGCTGCACAATTGCCCTTGTTTGGTGATTATGGTTTCTAGTTCTGATCTATGTAGTAGATTCGAGTACTCAGACACTCAGGAAGAAGAGTATAAACTAGGATTGTGTATAAACTACTAAGGGTGGCGAGCATATTTCTTCATTAATTAGAGTGAACATATGCTGGCTTTGGGCATGAGCGGAGCTAGAAGGGGGAGGGTGTTCGGCCCCCCTAATCATATGAGTTTTGTATTCTTATTATATAGTATTTGCATAATTTTTAAAATTTAAAGAATTGGCCATCCTTATATATTTAATAAAAATATTATCATTATTTATATTTAACTAAAATACTTAAAAAATTGGTTTAAATACACTAAATATTTGGAAATATTTGTAAAGAAAATAAGATAAAACAAACTAAAATTTGTTTGTAATTTTTAAAATTTTTTTATTATATTATATAATTTTAAAATTATTATATATTATTTATATAAAAAAAATTCGGCCCATGCCAAAAAAAAAAAAAATATGACTCCGCCACTACCTCTGGGTATGAATCAACATATATCTACATAGTCCAGTCGATTGTTTCTTGATATGAATCATATCTTGTAGTACTTTATTATTTAATTGGTCTATTATATTTATAGTGTGTATTTAGATTTTATATACATGGTGTTAACTTTGCAAGTGCTAATTTCGTATGGATATAGGAAGGCTGTAGCAAAATGTATTAGTTATGTTTGAGTGTGTAATTTTATCGGTCTATAATACTTATTCAAGTATAATTTATTATTTGTGTTTTAATTTATATAGTAGTTTATCTGATATTTTGTAAAAATAAATAATATATTTCTTTTTTCAAAGTGCAGACTAAATCGTAAATTTTTCATTTAAAATATAAATAATATATATATATTCAATATTTTAAAATCACCCATCTAATATTATAAATTTTTTTAAAGTAACAAAGCTAAAAACCTAGTACAGTAGATGTAAGCATTTCAAATTTTTTATTTTTATTTTTAAATTTGTTTTTAAGAAAGATAAAAAAAACTCAATTTTTTTATTAGAGTTAATATATTCTCTAGTGTGGCTGGACTATTGCTATTGTTCAATAATTAGAAATTATTTCGTACTTAGGACTTTTCTGAAGTTTTGGATTCGGGTGTAATTTATTACTGTGTTGATTATTTATACTCCAAAAGTACCAATATTCTTCTTTCTACTAATGTAATTTATGTTTGAGTCAAATATAGAAAAGCAAATTTCGCAGTATATATATTTTAATTATGTTAATTATTAATTTATTTATTATTACACTTTCCAATAAATTGGATCTATTTGATTTATTTTAAATATAAAATTTATATAATAAAAAATACATAGAAATATTAATAATATTTATATTATTACTTAATTTAGAAAGTTAATATATTTTACGAATAAAATAAATATATATTGATATTTGTGTAAAAAAAATAATTAATTTTTAAAGACAAATATAAATAATTAAAATTAGAGTAAATATAATATTTCGAAAAGCTAGTAGGATAACTTTTAAAAATTAGAATCAATAATATATATCAAAAAGCTAATTTAACAAATAGTTAAATTAATTTTTTTACTAATTAAACAACCAAAAGTTCTTTCAAATTGCTAAAAACTATTTGAAAAATTGTTTTGCAAACTCCTCAATCTATATAAAAAGAAAATGACCATCTATACAAATTGAAAATATAAATAAATAAATAAAAATCGTATTCAATGTTCTAAAACCATCAGCGTGACACTATAAAAATTAGTGAATTGATAAGGGGAACATGTGTTAAAGACAATGATTGAGAGTAGGTGCAAGTATTTCTGATATTTTTCTTTTCTTTGAAAACTTGTTTAATTCTAAGAAGAAACAATATAACAACTTATTATTTTCAAAAAAACCTTTGATTTTAAATCTTTCTTTTTTTTTTCTTCTCATGTATATGGGATTATTGTATATTCTATGCTACCGTACATAATTTTTAGTCATTCTTGTTGGCTGCACAGTATTACTTTCTGATTTAAATTTGTTTATTTTGTGTTTTGATTTGAGATATATGTTTTATATGATATATAGATAATTGTATAAGTAATATAAAAAATATTACTCTCTCCGTTCCACATACCGTGTCTGTTATACTGTAGACACGGTATTTTAGGAAGGTGTAATTAGTAGATAATTAAAAATATATTAGTGAAAATAATTATCCTATAATATAAATAATTATAAATTAAGATTAAGATAACTAATTAGTATAATTAAAATTAAAAAAATAAATAAATTAAAATATTTAAAATGAGATTAAAGTGTGTAATCATTTTCCAAAAAAGGAAAATAACATGGAATGTGGGACCGACAGAAACGGCAACGTGAACATGGTATGTGGGACGGAGAGAGTATTTCATATTGAATGTTGATATTTTGTGAGATTATAAAATATAAATATTTTATATATTCAGAATCATGTTTGAAAAAAAATTGTTGGAAGAACAAATCCTTGATTTCATGTAGTTATGGCTCAATTTTGCAAGTACTAATTTTATGTGGATATAGGAAGGAAATTTGTGACAAACTATGTTAGTTATGTTTGTATATGTAATTTGATCCACTATAGTACTATTCATGTGATTATGATAGAATTATCGAAATCGAGTTTTTTTTGTTTGAATTTTGATTTAAATAATATTTGATTGATATTTTATAAGAGTAAATAATATAATTTTTTTATTGTGAACATGCAAGTTGAATCGTAATTTTTTTTGATTTAATATAAAAAAAACACAAAAATGCATTAATTTTAAAAATAAAGTATTATATAAAATGAATATAAAAAATATTTATAAAATTTAAAATATGCAAAATAAACTTAATAAATTAATTAATAAAATACATTAAAAAATGTATTTATAAATATACAGCATATACATTCAATTATAAAAGATTAACTATTTCAGATAATATAAAAAAAATTATAAAAATATATAAAATAAATTTGAAATATTTATAAATAATATAAATATATACAACGATTCTATAACCATCTCCACTAGAAAAATAGCACAAGAAAAAAAAATGGTTGGCCCACTAAAAAAATTCTATTTAAAATATTATAAAAAATTTTAAAATAAAATAAAAATATAATTAAATGAATAAAAATATGTTGAACCTTCTAGAACGATCCAGTTCATACTATATAAATCTTCAATTGTGGAATTAGGGTTATTGTATATTTTCACAGGCGCCGCCGCTATTGTTTATTAGGGTTTCCGGTTGTGACAAAGGGTTTTTTTTTTGTTCGTCTGAAGTGATTTTGAGGTTTTTTCCTTCTCTTTTTTTAGTTGATTTGCTTGTTTGATTTTTGTTTATTTGTTTTGTTACTTCACTTGAAAATATGAGAGATGATATGAGAGCGAGAAAATGAGATCTTGGAACCACAATTTAGAACAAAAGAATAGTGAGAAGATCTGGCCGAGGATTGAGAATCGATTGTTGGCTGATGGATGCTACGGTGGCGGCGAGATAGGTGTTGGTTTTTCTGATTATGAATCAAATACTATTTGGAGGTAAGTTTTGTAAAATTGATCAAGGATTTAAAGCAAATACTTTTACTGTGGAACCTATGTTTATCAAACTCCACCATCAATTATGAGCGAAGGGAAAGGACTTGGATCGAGCAGTGGTCGCCGTTCGACATCTACGAAGATCTCCTTCGTCAGGTAGCTTTTGAATCAATGACTAAGAACAGATACTATTCCTAGATAATTGTCGATACGAACAAATTTATCGTTTTCTTCTTTGCAGTTCGATTTCTTGGATGAACAAGGAACGCGGATCATAATCTACAATCTCTGGGAAGACAACGACGAGGGATCACCTGAATTGGATTTCGACACAGTTGAACATGTTTGTTTCTAAGCTCTGCTCGTCAACTAAATCTTCGTAGTTTATCTTTGAATTTTGTATCTGTGCATTTGCTTGTCGAATAGGACATACAAATTCGAGGAGCCAGCCGAGACGAGAGCCAGATAGAGAATGCAGAAGTATATGCGATTCCACGCGGATTTCGCATCTTCTTACGGGGCATCGATGTTCAGCATCACGATATAATGGACGATATGATTTACCCCCAAGAGATGCATTACAAACCAGCAGCGCCGAAAGATCCGAATGTAAGCGCATTTGTTGTGTTTGTTTTTGTTCATATGTCCCCCAATTTCACATCTTTTCTTGTTCGATTTCCTTGCATCGACGCAGATGTCCATGACGGGGATGATTGGATTCATCAAAGACGCGAAACACCGTGTCGACGTACAAGGATTCAACGTATACCAGTTGTGAGGGAAGAACCCTGCTGCTACCGCCTTATCAAGGTTCGTTCGCTGCGCAGTATCTCTCCCTGTTACAATCCATTTACGACTTTGAACTCTACTTACACCCGCCCGATGTTTTCGATTTTTCTTACAGCCTTTCTGGAGGGTTTGGAACCCAGCTGGAAGCCACGACAGAGGAGTCATCGGTACGCTATCCATCCCTATTGTTGGGTCGAAACACATTTTATCGCCAGTCATATTAACAATGGTCATGTTTCAGGTGTCCTCGAATCGAACTTTGTCGATCCAGCGCACGATAAACAGGGATTCGAGCGAACGACCGACCTGTCTCGGCTTGAGTCAAGACTTATGTCCAACCAGAAAATTACTGGTTTCTCACCTTGCTCAAAGTTCACTTGATTCGGTTGAAAATGGCTGCTTCGATTTTTATGGTCGATTTACGCTTTCTGCAGGTCCCGAAATTGCCATCTCGATCGAATACTGACAGGATTAGTGCTATCAAATTTCTTCATTCATCTGAGTGGACTGATCGACGCTGGATTTGGGGAGGAGACATCTTTCTTGTTCGGACCTGTGTTAACGGTGAGAGATTTAGGAGGGCTAACAATTTTCGTAAACCCCATAGGTTGACTCATCCAATCAAGGAAAAAAATGGATAAGATGCCGGGGCGGATGAGAGAAGACGCCTTTTTCTCGGACCCCAAGTATTACCTCGAGGAACCCCAAAAAGCTGTTTGGATTGATGCACCGGAAGATAATTCTGTTCTTGAGGGATCTTCTTAGTTAGTAGGTAACAAGTTGTAATTTTGTGGGATCATAGTCATTGTTTGTACTTAATTCAACATCGGAATGAAGCTGTTTGGATTGATGCACCGGAAGATAATTCTGTTCTTGAGGGATCTTCTTAACTAGTAGGTAACAAGTTGTAATTTTACGGGATCATAGTCATTGTTTGTACTTAATTCTAACATTGGAAAGGAGCTTTGATTTTTTGTGATCGACCTATCGATTGTAAGTATTTTATTTGTCCAAAGCACACCAATTACGCAAAAGGGATATATTGATTTTTCGATTGATTGACACTTGAAAGTATGGATTTTAATTGTTTCTAACCTATATATATGTATATATGGAAGAAAGGCTTCGGCCAAATGTGTTATATATGTTTGAGAATGTTTGAGTGTGTTAAATTTCGTAATAACCGGCGGTTCGAATCCAGATAATGAATTTTTTTTGCGATTCCATTATGAATAATTGGCTGCGTTTAGATTAGATAATTTCCTGGTGCTAGCTGAAGTATGAAACCAAGAGAATTGAACGCTCTATTAAATGTAAGCAAGACAACAATTTTACCATCAAACTACAGTACAAATATTATTATTTATTTATTAGTTAATAAATACTTCATCTGTCCTCTTGTTTTGTATAATTGTTTGTGCAAATATTCTTTTATTAGCATTATAAGATATTAATAGAAAATATTTTTGCAATTTTTCTTAATTTGTACTACGTTTTGATATAATAATTAATGTTTAAATATCAACACGCAAAAAGTAAATGAGACCTTAGAGCCGGACAAAAGTAGTATATAAATATATTAGTTCTAAATATAATGGTAATGATCCATGCCAAGTTCGGCACAGCCCGAAAATTTTTGGGCCTATTTTATGAAGTTCAAGCACAATTATTTTGTACGGAATTTGAATCCAATTATCAAACTGTATCTATTTTTGCTAATTTTATTATATATAATTAAATAAGTAAAAAATACTTAACAAAATAAAAGTAAAGGTAAAAGTAAGGGCGTGGTGGGGATGGACAAAGGCGGGTTGCAGCCGCACCGTTGTGGGTCCGCCACTATTTACATGTATTTATTCTTGTATTAAGTCAATGCTTTAAACATAAATGTTTATTCTCATATTTTACACAATTTTCAATATTTATTAATAAAAATATATTATTTTAATTATAAAATTTTTATAAAATAATATAAAAATACTTTTTTGCAATTTTTAACAAACAAATAATAAATCTAAAAATATTTCTAAAAACTAAATATATATCACATTAAATGCCAATTTTAAACAAATAATAAATCTAAAAAACTTCTAAAAATTAAATTTATATCACATTAAATGCCAATTTCATTCAAAATTCAATTATTTTCAAATCTACATCCAAAACACATGGGTTCCATTGCAATAAAAGCTCTTAGAATTTTAAAAGAATTTGAAATTAGTTTTTTAAAAAATTATTTAATATGATATATATTTTTTAATTACAATTAAAACATATTATTAGAACTTCAAATAATAGTTATAAACATAGTCATGAATCGGTTTATTGACTTGGAGTAGTTAGAATACAATGAAATTCTTAAATAACTTTTTAGGTTGTGATTCTCTAAGAACTTGAATATAAGTTTTTTATAATCATAAAATTTTGAATTAAAATATTACGTGATGTTAAGTAAATGTAAATATGAGTTTGACTTGATATTTTAAATAAAAAAAATATATATAATATATTAAATTAAACCTAATAATTTGATGGGAAATTTAAGGGATAGTGCAAGACCATAACAAACTTCCTTCCGCTTCTTTAAAATCTTGATATGGTGGTCTCGCACTATTCACATATATTTATTTCAAAAGAATCAAATCAAATATTTATTTTTTAATATATTATAAAAAATTTAGAATTTTCATTTAAAACATTAGATTTTATGGGTGTTGTGTGTTTCTTACTTGGTAGCGAGGCCTTCGAGACTTCTTCCATCTCTGATGATTATGTAAACAGAGGCCGACTGGTCTCTCACCGGTGTACAAATTTCATTCACAACATTGTAAGCAATGTTAGACACGCGTTCCTGAAATATATATCATTTTATAAAGAATAAACAAGTACAAAAGTATATATACCTATATAAAGATATGAAACTGATTTTGACGGAAGAATGTGAATCAAAGCAATCAATCTGTGGCAAGGTGGACGTGTTTGATGCAACATATCGATCGTAAATTCCATTCTTAGCCCTTGCTATTGCAGTTTGACTATCGCAGTGAATCATTACGGGAGGTACTTGTTTAGTCTAGTATGGAATATCATCCATGAAGTTCCTCAGCCATTCGACTTCTTCGCCAACTTTGTCCAAGGCGATGAACTCCGATTCCATTGTGGACCATGCAATGCACGTCTGTTTTTTGGATTTCCACAAAACAACTCCTCCTCCAATCATAAATACATATCCACTGGTAGACAGTGAGTCTTTTGCATCGGATATCCAATTGGCATCGCAGTACCCTTCGAGTACCGGTGGATATTTCGTGTAGTGTATGCCAAAATTCAGAGTAAATTTAAGATAACTTAATACTGTTACTAGCGCTTTCCAGTGTTCATGACTGGGGTTGCTAGTGTATCGACTTAGCTTGTTTACGGAGCAAGCTAGGTCAGGCCTTGTACAATTTTTTAAGTACATTAGGCTTCCAATAATTTTGGCATAGTCTTCTTGAGCTACGGGGTCTCCCATGTTCTTGCTCAAGTGTACGCTGAGGTCCATTGGGGTTTTCACTTGAGTGTTTTCGTAGGCATTGAACTTTTTCAATATTTTGCCACATAGTGAGACTTAGTGAGAACAATACCTTCGTCTTGTCTTAGAATCTTCATTCCAAGGATGACGTCGGCTAGCCCCAAATCTTTCATGTCGAAGTTACGACTCAACATGCATTTGACCTCATTGATCAGACTGACCTCTTTAGCCATGAATAGTAGGTCGTCTACATATATACATATTATGATAAAACCAGAAGTTGTTTCTTTGATGTAGACACACTTTCCACACTTATTTATTTTAAAACCATTTGATAACATAACATTATCAAATCTCAAGTGCCATTGTAAAGGTGCTTGTTTAAGCCCGTACAAAGACTTTATCAGTTTGCACACCTTTTTCTCTTGGTCAGGAACGACATATCCTTCCGGTTGTTCCGTATATACCTTTTTTTTCTAGTTCACCATTTAGAAAAGAAGTCTTCACATCCATTTGGAGAATTTCAAGATTGTTCAAAGACGCAATCGAAAGAAGCATTCGAATAGATATTATCTTGGTTACCGGTGAATATGTGTCGAAGAAGTCAAACCCTTCTGTTTGTCTGTAGCCTTTTACTATGAGATGGGCTTTGTATTTGTCAATAAACCCATCAGCCTTGAGTTTCTTTTTCAAAACTCATTTACACTCTAGTGGTTTGCAACCTACGTGTAGGTCAGATAACACCCAAGTGTTATTATGCATTATTGGGTCTATTTCACTATCTATTGCTTCCTTCCAAAAATGAGCATCAGGACTAGATAGTGCTTCATTGATCCTTTTTGAATAATTGTCTAACATATATGTAACAAAATCCGATCAAAGGTTTTCTCAACCCTTGTCCTTTTGCTACGCCTAGGCTCTGAGGCCTCTTGATCAGGGCTATTGATTATTTGTTTTTTTTACGCCCCGTAGTTCTTCCTCTACGGATTTTGGATTGGACTGCATCATTTCCTTACAAGGGTAGATATTTTCAAAGAATGTGGCATTCCTTGATTCTATCGTAGTTCCCTCGGTCATCCTAGGGATTTTCTATTTGTGAACTATAAAACGATAAGCACTACTGTTTAGTGCGTATTAGATAAATATAGAATCTACCATTTTTGGGCCGATAGCGACTTGCTTTGCAGGCGAAACTTCCACTTTTGCTAGGCACCCCCACACTTTGAAGTATTTGTTTGTGGGTTTCTT